TCTGATAGAGCTTGAAATTCTCTATCACCCTATATATTTATATATTGTCTTGCATTTACTTGCTGGGGAAAATTTTGAATACAGTAAAGGCAACCTACTTTGACAAGTACAAAAAAGTGTATATTTTTCGCTACTTCTTCAGTATTTTGTCAAATTATTATAACTATAAGAACACTCTTTTACAAAAGTAATTGTGTATGCTGATAGCCCGTGAAATTCTCTATCATTCTATGTATTTGTGTATTGTTTTGCACTTATTTGTCAAGGAATAATTCTAATATTATTTAGGCATTATCTCCTTGATAAACTCTAATAAACTGCACTTTTTTTACTATCTCTTTCGTTTTTAAGTTCAAAAGTTCAGGATAATAGAGAATTTCAAGCGCTATCATAACATATAACTATGTGTGCAAAAAGTTATTTCTATAGTGATAATAAATCTGAAATAAAAACCAAAGAGATAGTAAAAAGTCTGGTTATTTAAATTTGCAAACAATATAACAAATAATATTCGAATTATTCTTTGGCAGATAAATGCAAGGCAAGAAATAAATACATAGAATGATAGAGAATTTCATGGGCTATCAGAGTCTATATTTACTTTTATAAACATTTATTTCCATAACAATAATAATTTTAAAAGTCCTAAAAAGTAGTGCATTTTTGTACTTGTCAAAGTAGGTTGCCTTTACTGTATTCAAAATTTTCCCCAGCAAGTAAATGCAAGACAATATATAAATATATAGGGTGATAGAAAATTTCAAGCTCTATCAGAATATGTGATTACTTTTTTCAAAACCTATTTGTAATACTGAAAAAATCTTGAAAAACTATACGAGATAACAATGATTGTATTAAGTGTGTGGAAATGAGGCACTGAGGGTGTGTTCACTTCATTGGAATAATCTTTTTACACAGCGATCCAAACAAAAATAAAAATATACAGGATGATGTAAAAATTCACGGGCTTTCAAAATATGTCGTTACTTTAAACAAAATACGTTCTTTTGGTAACAATATTCTCAAAATCCCAAGGAAAACTTATTTTTTCCAGGGGTATAGATGGTGTAACAGTGATCTTTCTTTTCATTGGAGAAATTCCGACAACTCTGAGCCTGTTTCGTTAATAAGTGTTTATATTACTCACATTTATTCACAAATCTAATGGGCACAGCAACGGTCTCCATACTCTCCAGCAAAGAATGGATTAATGATTTATGTAAGGGAAATTTGGGTAGTAAAGAAAATATCGTCTTTACTTGTTAGTGCGAATGAAGTAGGTAATGGAGCAGTAAGTGATGCAACGAACCATATTATCGACACATGTGCCGCTTGCGATCTTGATTTTTTAAATTTGCTCGTATCATTGCTCTGGGAAGGAAGTTCGAACTTTATTCTTTGTTGCCGTTTCATGTCGCTGAATCGAATTTACGATTTGGGCTTCGTAATCTTCAAGAACATGTAACAATAAATCAGCCCGTATCAACGGCGATGTTCTTTTTACATTTCTATGATGCAAATGTTTTTTTGGACGGCATCGCGCGTCAGAAATTGAAAAAGTGTTTATCAATTTAATTTTGTCTTAATATTTTTGCCGTATTATATAACCTTAAACAACAGCTTTCGCAATCGTTATTGATCCTCAATCCAGCATCGACACTTGTCTGTATTCAAGTGGTATATATCGGCATTCACATGCATGGTTGATATTTAGACTCAAACTAACAAATTTGATTACGGTTATAATTTGTCCTCACTGGTTGGTGTTTATCTTTCTAGAATGCAACAAACCATTTAAGTATTTGTTGAATAACAGATATTTATAGACACTTATAACCTGTTTTCTAATCTTAGGAAAAATAACTTTTCATGGTTTTTTGTTTGTAGATAATGATTGGAATGAAATTTATCTTATTGTGCCATTTGAGCATCATTATTTCTGTATATGCACCGCCTGTACTTGACGGTCCATCAAAAAAGCGACTAGATGATTATCCAGTTAACAATGATAAACCATCGAAAGATGTAGTAAGTATTGAATTTTTTATTAATGTCTAACTAAACTTTATTTTTCTTTCTGTTAATTTAGTTAGATGATCTGGAATATGCACGTTACTTGAAAGAAGTAGTTGAAATACTAGAAAATGATCCAAACTTTAAAAGTATAATTGAAAAAGCATCACCTGACGATATCAAAGTAAGAAAATCGAGTTTCTGTAGAAGAAAAAATGAATACTATCTCATAAAGTTTCTTTTCAGTCTGGAAATATCGCTCGGCATTTAAGTCTAGTAGAACATAATGTTCGAACAGCATTGGATGAAGCAAAACAACGCGAACTTGCTAGATTACGAAAACTTGTTAGTGAGAAAGTTCGTCTTTTGAATGGTAAGTTCCACTAATGTGTCGTAATGACAGTGTATAATTAATCAACACGCGTATATTTTATGTAAGAATTATTTTTCTCAAAAATCATATTTTAGATATACATCGTCAAGGAGGACTTCGAGGTATGTCAGCGATTGTAACATTGTGGCGTATTTTGTCGTATGTTGAGGTTTGTTATAATGTGCTATTAATAATTGATGTGTCAGAGCATAACTATGGTATAATGTGTTAGCTGTTTATCTACTTAGAGGTATCCAAAAGTAGTGGCAACGACAATTTAATACCCTATATTAGGCTAATAGAAACTTTCTTTATACATGGATTGATAGAGGAAAAAAAGCTGTATCTTTCTATACTATCTGATCATAGTTCAAATAATACCATAATAATAAAATTTTGATACGATCTGTTTTGTTCGCATGTGTTGCGGTTACATGAATACTAATGAGTATTTTACAAATAACTTTTGATAGAAATGAGATATAACACTGCGGTTTTGATCGTTGGAAAGAGGGGATGAAGATGCATCGGAACATGTATTATCTACTTTTCTAATATTGATTTCTGAGGTATCTTTATTCGATTTCCTAATTTTCAAAAAATGGTCTTTTTCATTAGAAACGAGAAAGGGATCAAAGTGAGTTTTTCTTCCCAGAAATTGCGAGAAAAGAATATCAGGAGCTCAACTACAATACGTATCATTCATCTAAAGTTTCTACGGTTTTTCGATCTTCGATTCGTGATTGAATCTATATTTGTTAATTGCCAATTCACTGCAAACGACTTCTCACATAGATTTTCTCCTAAAAAGGTCAATTGAAATGCTTATAAAAAAACAGATCAGGTGGTCTTGTAATACATGGTTCCACGCATCTTGATTTCCGTTTTCCAACGGTGAAAACTGCACTTCTCTATATTGCTTCTATCAAAAGTTAATCGAAAATTACTCATCCACTCTTTTTCAAAATGAGCGTTGATGTAACCGTAACACATGCGAACAAAACAGATCGTATCGAAATTTTATTATTATGATATTATTTGAACTATGATCAGATAGCATAGAGAGAGATACAGCTTTTTTTCTTCTATCAGTCCATGTATAAAGAAAGTTTCTATTAGCTTACTATAGAGTATTGAAGTGTCGTTGCCACTACTTTTGGATACCCCTAAGTAAAACGGTGTGAAGTCGACACTCTCAAGATAACAGGCATTTGTAGAACCGGATGAAATATGAACAAACTTAATAGAAAAATCACATTCATTACAGGCGCTTCTGAAGGTATTGATTGGCCATTACACAACGATTCATGGCTGAGGGTGCAGAACATGTTTTCATCACTGGATGTCGGCAAGAAATGCTTGATGAAGCTGTAAAAACGATCGATAGTACAAATGTGACAGCAGTGCAAGGTGATTTATCGAATATGACCGATCTCAACAATCCATACAACATCATTCAGAAAGAGAAAGATCACATGGATTCGTTGCTGCAAGCTTTGTCAATATTAGTTCATTACTTTGAGTAGGGATCTGCAAAATGGTCCAGGGACCGGAACCAAAGTTTACATTTTTACCGCGACGGAACCGGGACTGAAACTGCTAGGTGGCCCCGTAACTTTTTAACCAAATACTAGACTAAATTTTCTTGTTTTTTTTTTATTAGAGATTTCACTATCGATTACTTTGTCTACAACAGAGAAAGAGCTTTTACAGATTCTGGTTTTGATTCCAAGAATCGAAAGTTCTTAATAACTTTATACATTTTAGAATATGAGAAAACAATACGCATGAATTAATTCGATGATAGTGTAGCCATTCCTTTAACTTCTGCCCCCGCATATAACGAATAGATAAATGTGTTTTTATTTTTTGGAACTAGTAATGGTGCTTTAAAATAAATGTTGAATTAAAAAGTGTGCGAAAAAAAATTATTTCAAGGTAGCAAACGTGGCAACATCCACCACATACAACAAACAACAAATTCTAGAAATGATACAAGATAAAAATCCTATTGAATTTCGTAAGCCAAAAGCCAGAAATGTGACAATTATTCACAAGTTTTTGTTAATAGTTTTGGTCAATATTTTATGTATGTTAGTAGGTTACAAAATTACAAAAAATTACAAAACTTCTGCGAAGTTTTCTTTCATCTATGATAGCATCAATATCGAGGAGTATTATTTCGAAAAATTTTCTTCGTGTCCAATACAGTACAGAGTGATGATTTTAAAACAGTAGAGATATTCGCATATTTTAGTTTTTTTAAGGCTTCCAAAGAGGAATCAGGTGTGTACTCCGACGATCTTCATGGTAGGTTATGTCGGGATTCGGATCGATGAGTCCATAGGCAAATAGTACAACATTGATGCCGGGCTAGAGAAAAAGATGAATGCGATATAAAAAGACAGAGAAATCATGGATCTTACGCCGATTGGATGATCCATGGAATCTTTCGTATCTAGTGCACGTTTGAATTGAATAGCTGTCCAATTATTCTCTTCTCGACCTTGCAAACCAAACCAATCTTGAGTTGTTGAATCTTTCACTGGTAGTACAAAGCCGGGAGCATGCCGATCCTGTTATTCATCAAAAAGGAAGAATTAGAATCTACGGACAACAGTTAAATTTACCTCAAAATGCAACTGTCCATTCATATCAATCCAACCAATAGCCATGTCTGCTTCCTGATTCACGCCACCAACTACAAGATAATTAAATAAAGAGCTCTGCACTTTCTAAATAGATCGATATCAAATCTCACCTAGAGCAAGGCCAATAGCAATCCAGCCTGTAGTTTTAACGTGTAATTCGAAGGTAATCTCCTTACTGGCTTCATTTACTGTCCACCACAAGTCTGCAACATTCGCCATCAGTTCAGTTGCATTGCGGTAGGTTGTAAATGGTCGAAGCGGACTTGATAGACATTGAATATTACTTATGAACAGCTGGAAAACCAGCACAACTGGGACAAGCATATTCTACGTGATAGAAAACTTCTTCATTATTAACAGTGTCATACTATTTAACTTACCATCATATTGTTATTCGAAGTCTTCACAATGTATCTCAATGATCAAATCGAAAACAAAAGGTTTATGTTTACATGTCATTTGCATAGTTTTACTATCATCATACGGCTTAAGTGATTGAAAGTATCAAAGAGAAAAATTCAAAAGATCAAAATTTATTGCTATGTTGATTTTCAAAGTGTGTGACAATCTGATAAAGATTGTTATTGAGGGATTATAGCTAGCACACATAGGCGTGTATCTTCATAAAAGAGAACTAAGATAGAGTAAATTCCATAAAAACATTTCATCATCAGTATACAATGCTCGAAATAATCGTCCTCCTCGTCATCACAACTACGATAGTCTGTGACGCTCAAAAAACGGTACCTCCTTAGCCTATTTGGCCTGATGGATTTGAGCAAGGTTCGAAACTCTGAATTCATCGAACAAATGAGCGGCTACTTCTACTTGTTTTTGCTTCAGCACTGAGACAACGATCACCGCTTCGATGAAAACAGTCAAGCGCATATTCATCGCAGTGTTTTTCACTACTTCTACACAAATCAAACAGAACCGGTCGATGACATGGTCTAGAACGACATGATCATTATGGTTGCTGTTATGGTTGGGCATTGAATGAAGCAAGTTGTAATATTCTGATTACGGATAATGTTTATATTGTGGCTCGTAATCTTTGCTATTTGGCAATGTCTGGCAATTTTGGTGTGCGCCGTGACTGGCGGAAGAGTACTAGTACTGCATGGCTTGGTGTTGAGCAAATTCATGGCAGGTCTGTCAGCCATTGGTATGCTTTTGAGCATTAATCATGTCTGAAAAAAAACTATTTAGATTTTCAAGAGTCTTTTTAATTCTTTTATGTGGAGGATTGATTTTTGTTAAGAACATATAACTGTAACATGCATATTCCCAGCACATTGATGTCCAAATAGTTTCGTTTGATCACAACTTGCCAAATTAATTGTATGTGACGGACAATTGGAAAAACTTTGTAAATATGTGCATCCAATTTCCAATTGATCTTGTCCATATTGAAAATAACATTTATTCTTTTGTAAATTGGGATTTGATGGAGATGGACGATTGATTTGAAAATCCCAAAACCTTCACCTAATGAACGACACACAGCATCGGCGGCATATTGATTAAAACCGTTTTGACAGACAGAACCTTCCACAAAGAAATGATCTTTCGAACCAGTTGATGGATCTGTTATTTCAACTTTGGCTCGAATACGCAGTGGACTTGGAATAAGCACTTGAACATCAACCACTTTACGTGGAAATACCATCAGACCATACAGTTTTGAACATGTTTTTTCAAAGATGCCTCTTTCTGATGCTATACTATTATTACTACTACCTCCGAGATCTTCAATAATTTGCGACCCAAACAGTGACGAACTGATCTGTTGACAACTGATCACCAGGTAGTAG